AAATATCATAAAAACACTCATGACTTATTAAAGTAGGTCTCTGTAAACACAAGAGAGGATTTCCCCTAATTTGGAGTAATTAAAATCTGCTGTACACCTAATACATAGTAACAGAAGTTTGATTTTACTCTTTTTACTGTTTCAAGCCAAACTGAGCTATGAATATGACTTTGTGTAATTTCCTCACTGGGATCATTTCTTGGTGTTATTTGCTAACATGAAATCTTTGTGAAAGTAAGCTTTCCCCAACCAAATGAGGCTTAGATTAAGTTCTAAACCTACAGCAAACAACTAACTGTTCTCAGAACATTTTCTTTGGGTTTATAATCAAACAGATCTATGGTGAATCAGCCAAGTGCCACTGCTCAGAACCAGAAAACTCTTATTTAAAAATAAAATCATAAGTTTTCTTTCCAAGTTAAATATGTCCTACTTTTCTGATAGAACTCATTTTTCTTTTTCTTTTTTTTTTTCAGAACTCATTTTCCAATTTACCCTTATAAAAGTTAACTATATTTTAAAATGATTTTGAAATTATTTGTTGTTAATGCTTGGGAAATTCAACTGGTTTTCTAGTTCATAGTTTAAGAACTTGTTTAATGTCTGCATTTTAAGTTTTCCCTATTTGACAAATTCTAAATGTGAATTGAAATAAATTATTCTAAAATGGTGGCTTACAACTATCAATAAATAAATTCTTTTAAAGTAATACTGTGCAATATTATAAAGTCACAGTCTCAGTGTTGTTGACAAGAATTTAAATATAAACTTGGATTTCTGGCTATGGCATACTCTCATTATTATTCTGGCTATAAACTATCTTTGAAGGCAATTCAGAGCCCCTGTGTGCCTGTTCTATGTTACTGTTTTTGGACCAACTTCAACTTTAGAACTATTGGAGCATCTAAGTGTAGACTGAGGGTTGACTCATGACTGAACAGTCATGTGACTCAAGCCTTCAGACCCTCCAATAGGAAAGAATCTGGAATGTGAAAGAATATAATAAAATGAATTTTACACAGAATCCGAGGATACACATCGAACATGTCTAGCATATCTTATTTCAATTTATTTTTAGTTTGCAAAACAAGTCTTCATTTAGAGATGAGACACGGAAAGAAGGACACGCAGAGTGTTCAAGCTGAATTAAGAAACGAAGTATAGATTATGACCCAGCCGAGGATGCTTGCACAAGCATGCACCATTAAGCAAAAACAAGGGACAGTTGCAAGTTCAGTGAGTAACATGTTTCTTCTGCTCATTCCGAGGTAATGAAAACCTTAGTTTAAATTTTTCTTCCCTTGGTTTTGATAGTAACCTTAACAACTACAGTGCCTGAATTACTCTTATTCTTCATACATTGAATTGAGCCAAAAATGTTGACTTTCATTGGAAACAGGCCATAAAATAATTTTTAGAAGTTGAAAAAATTTAAATTCTAATAAGAGACAGTGAAGGAGTAAGAATCTAAAACAAGTAAGTGAAAATCTAAAACAGAACATTTTCTATCTGAATTTTTATATTTGAATGCTTTTTAAAGATAGACTAATTTGTCAAAGACATGTAGTTCTAGACTACAGTGGATGAAAGTATCATGAGATTAAAGTGTCTCAACAAATAATTGCATTTTGTTTTGACTAACAGAAGATAAGATCTGAGAAGGTTGTCACATGTATTTTGTTATATAGAATCTATGCTCTGACAAAACAAAACACTATAATGAACTTTGGGTATTACACCGCAGTCCATGCTCATCAAATTTAGAATGAAATAAACAAACGTTTAATTATTCCTGTTGTCAGTCTGACCATCTTTTGAAAAAGAATTGAGTCTTAATTTGAAATGGTGCTTCACAGTATGCATGTAACTTGGAAAATTTATAGCAATAACTTGTCATAACTCAACAATTTTATCTTCCAGAAATACTTTTGTCCTACATCAATTGCTCAAGTAAAATGATTCCTGCTTCGGAAATATATATCCTGATGATTCTCTTTCAGTCTTTGGACATAGATTCTGGGGTAGCCATGAATAGTTACAGTTTCCGATGGCTATGATTTTGGTGTCTGGCCTAGATTATTTCTATGTGTGTTCTTGCCTTATGTCTCTTGTCTGAACTGGGAGAGGTCCCTATGCAGTACATCTGCTGCAATGAGTGCCTCCAGAGATTGGGTTTTAATTTGACCTCATATTTCTGAAGTTTTAGACCTGACATGAAGCTCATATTCACAAAACTCCAGCCAGAGCTTAGGGTTCTCTTGAAAGCATGTTAGATTCATCCTTTTTTCTAGCTTTGTGGTTGTGCTCCACCTGAGATACTCAGAAGACAAATGGAGGTCTTGGGGCTCAAAGGTGGCATTAAATGATTCACAGTTGCATCACATTACATTGTGATGTTTCTACATGTTTGACTGAGTCTGTGTCAGATCAAACATACCGCGGAAAAGTGTAAGGTTTAGCCAGTTTGCCAGATGTTTTGCATACAATTGGGCAAACATGTCAATGCAGCATGAAACATCTGGGCATTCCAACCATTTTTTAACAGACACCATGAAAGAAGACATTGGTATGAATAACTAATTTAAAATAACGAAATGGAAACAAAGATGTGTTAACATTAAGCAATCACAGTTTTTGAGTTCCCTCGTATTTACACAATACAGGCTGGATGTTTAAGTCCTACTGCTATATGGATGTGCACAGAAAAACAAGCAGCTTCTTTATTTTAGTTATAACCAACCTATTCTTCCAGTTGAACTCCCAGGGGCTGCTTTGAGAACAGAGTACGATGAAGGATAGAACCCTTATCTAATTTTGACAGTCTTGTTTGCTGGTGGTCAGTTTCTTTTTGTTAAGAATACACAGCCCTCCAGTTGTGAATTTGTTTGATTTCTTATGATTCATCCGTATACAGCTTGTAGGTACAGAGCCTACGGGTTGTCAGATAAGAGGGGAAGGGGTGAAGTCCTTAGGTGAGGCTCCCTCTATGTCTCTGGTTCTCTTCCATCTGGTCCTGATTGGAAGAAACTGAGACTGTATCCTTTTCCTCTCCCTTCTCTTTACATTCAGGTTCCACATCACCCCATCACCCCATTACCCACTTTCTGCTTCATGTCTGGCTCAATCCCAGGCTCTTTACTGCTGGAGGTCTTCTCTGCAGCCTCAGTAAATTCTATGGTGCATCCAGTTGCTTTCCAGTCAGATCTCTGAGTTACTGTGAATTACTCTAAGTTACTTCTAAAGTTCTTGTTTAGAAACCAAAGGACTATAGAAAAAGAAAACAAAATACATATTCTGGTGGTCAATACAGCCCCAAAGTAAGAGCCCAGACTGGTACAAATGAACACACAAAGCAATTCCTTCCTACCTTCAAATTCCAGCAGGACCAGAGGTTTACACTTCACCTCATGCTTGGGGTTTTCCTATAGGTCAGAGCCTCTTTCTATCAAACACATGACTAATACCGAGACAGAATTCTACCCTGAAAGGCCAGAAGGTGAATACTGTTTGTGTTTCTCTCTGTATCGTCCAGCGTCAACCTCAGTCTGTTTTCTGACCCTTTTCTTTTTCTTTCTCTATATATTTTTGATCAATAAGACCCTGCATTATTAGATCCACAAAGACTTGTGCTCCAGTAAGAAGCTTTACTAGATAATAATTTTTGAACTCTGAATAAAAATAATAAATAATTTTATGACATAAAATGTCAGGGTTACTCTGCCCAGGTAACTTGAAAGTATTAATGATAGGTAACAAGGAAACAATAGTCACAATGTCTAGGATTAATTTGTATTTTAATTTCCTCCAAATCTCCACAAAACCACAATAAAGTCAACAAACTTCATGGTAAAATGGTAAATATGAACAATCAGTTCCTAGATGATGAAATCCAGTATAAGAAGCATATGAGAGAAGCAGATAAAAGTTGCTTATGCTCATTAGAAGTAAGGGAAATAAAACACATCAATGAAATAAGCTTTATGTGGGTTGTGTTGCTAAAAATTAAACTGTAAGCAGGAAAGTTGTCATACGGAAACCTCATAAACTGATAGAAAGATTAAGTATATATGTATCTTAGGATGCATCATAAAGACAGCTTTAAACATGTCTAACAAATTATATAATTAGTATTAGTATTATTGCAATAGAACAAATTACCACCGTTTCCTTGACTAAAAACAATACGGATTGGTTGCTAGTTTATGTTGTTCAGAAACTTAGGTTAGTCTTGGGTGGTGCCTTCTGCTCAGTGTCACGCAAGTCTACTGTAGGATGGTATTATGGACTGGTGTCAGTGGAGACACTGCTAGGTTCTCTTCTGAGCTCATGTATTTTGTCAACAAAGAGAGAGCAAGATGAAAAGAGAAAGAGAGAGGGAGAGAGGGGAAAGAGGAGAGAAGAGAGATGGGAGAGGAGAAAGGATAAAGGAGACAGAGAGAGATACATAATTTGGGAATAACAAGAAACTGCAATCCAGGATACATGCACTGGTATGAACATAGACATATCTGAGGGTATTGAGAGAAAAGGAAGCTTCTAAAGATGTGAAAAGCATGAAGCAGTTTTCAAGTGAACCTCCTTGTGAAAGCTGGTGATTACTCCTAGGTAATACTGGCTGCTGCTGGGAGATGCCTTTTAGAAATGATTTTTCTGACATTTTAGTGGTTCTAGAGAATGCTTGGAATGGTTCTTTTCATAGCTGTATGCTCAGGAGGGCTCTTCCTTTATAGCTTTCTTGTTCTATTTTGTTTGAGTTAGAAGTAAGAGATGCCATTTTTGGGACTAACTACTTTCACAGGCTGTTACCAGAATTCATTTCCTCCCTGCCGTAACCTCAGGCCCACTTGGGTTTTTAAGGCCAGAAGGCCAGACTTGCTCTTCAGGGTACACTAAGTAGCCCTCTTAAGGCCATTAATCAAGAGTGTTGGAGCTGCTGCCGCCAAGTCCAAATCTGAGAAGCATGCATTCCAAAGCCTACCCCAAGTGCATTCCTGGTTCCTTTTGGTTCTTAGTCCAAGATGGCCAGTCTCAAGGATCTGCTAATTGTGAATCTCCTTAAGGAGGAACAGGTGCCCCAAAATAAGATCATGGTTGTTGGGGTTGGTGCTGTTGGAATGCCTGTGCCATCAGTATCTTAATGAAGGACTTGGCAGATGAACTTGCTCTCGTTGATGTCGCAGAAGACAAATTGAAGGGAGAGATGGTGGACCTCTAACACGGGAGCCTTTTCCTTAGGACACCAAAACTTGTCTCTGGCAGAGACTATCATGTATCTTCAAAGTCCAAGATGGTTGTTATCACTGCTGGAGCACATCAGCAAGAGGGAGAGAGCCGTCTCAATTTAATGCAGTGTAATGTGAACATCTTCAAGTTCATCACTCCTAATGTTGTAAAGTACAGTCCCAACTGCAAGTTGCTTATTGTGTCCAACCCAGTGGATATCTTGAACTATGTGGCTTGGAAGATAAGTGGCTTTCCCAAGAAGCTTGTTGTTGGCAGTGTTTGCAACCTGGATTAAGCCCCGTTCTGCTACCTGATGGGGGAAAGGCTGGGAGTGCACCCACTGAGCTGCCATGGCTGGATCCTCGGGGGACACAGAGATTCCAGCGTCCCTGTGTGGAGTGGTATGAATGTTGCTGGTGTCACCCTGAAGAGTCAGCACCCTGAATTAGGAAGTGATAGGGATAATGAGCACTATAAAGAGGTTCACAAACAGGGGGTTGACAGTGCTTATGGAGCTATAACTAAAAGGCTCTACATCCTGGGTCATTGAACTGTCGGCAGCAGACTTGGCCGAAAGTGCAATGAAGAATCTTAGGAGGGTGCATCCAGTTTCCACCATGATTAAGGGGCTCTGTGGAATCAACGATGATGTCTTCCTTAGTGTCCCTTGAGTCCTGGGATAGAATGGGATCTCTGGTCTTGTGGAGGTGACTCTGACTCCTGAGGAAGTTGTACATTTGAAGAAGAGTGTGGTTTCCCTGTGGTCAATCCAGAAGAAGCTGCAGTTTTATATTCTTCCAGTGTTACCACATCACTGTCCTGGCTATGGGAGGGTTTAGTTGGAGTTGTGCCAGTTGTCCTTTTTTATCTGACAAGTACTAATTAAAATGGCCTGGAGAAAACATCAGGTTCTGAAAGTTAGAAGTAGATATGGTTCACAAGACCCCACAGTTCTGTCCTGATGCCATATGGTCCTGCACTTGTAGTCCTGGTTAGAATGAGTAGCCCAGTATTTCTGAGACACCTTGCTGTGCAGGTTCCACTTACTCTTCAAACAGATGTGTGTTAATCCATTACACAGCTTCAGCCACCCAGCCTTGTCTGACCTTTTCCCAGTTGGTCACAGTCTGGGATCCAGTACACAAATCCAATACTGCATGTCTTGTGCATAACTGTTTTAAAGAATTTTATTTTATGAGATACCTACCTGTGAACAGGGTAACCCAGTATCATGCCAACTACAATACCAAATAAACTTTGAACAGTGACTAGTGTTAAGAAAAAAAAAAGGAACTGACTTAAGACTTCACCTATCTATGCAAACTCCTCCCTTTTTAAACTTTATTCTACTCGTACAAGCTAATCATGGTAGTGAAATCCCATCGTGTTCAGAGGTACCACCCGTATCAAGGACATAAATTGTAAAAGGACATGAGGTATTCAGTATAATTTTACAATTTTAGAACTCTTCCCTCAGAATCTTCACTGAGCCAGGGCTGCATGCTTGTAATCCTAACTAGAAAGGCAGAGAGGAGGATAGCAGGTTTGATGCCAGGCAGGCAGTAATGGAGACTTTGGAGACCAGGTTTCGAAGTAAAAAGTACAAGGGTGCAGAAGTGCAGCTCAGTGAAAAGTGCTGAGTCCCATCCTCAGTGCTCCAGTAAATAAAACAAACAAACAAATACATAAATAACTCACTAGTGCATTATCAGGGCATGTTGGGAGCACTCTCAAAGCCCTGAGTAATGACAAGATTAAAAATTAAAAATGCATCCTAAAGATAAAATATTGTTTTTAGAATCAATAGATCTCATGTGTTCCTGGTATGAAAATATAGCACTGAGTAAAAGAGAAATATGAAACAGAATAAATCTATAGCAGAATGCCATTTGTGTATATGATACATATTAAAATGACATGTGTTTTATAAAGGCATACAAAAACAATGAAAGAATAGGATGAGCTCAGTGTAATAGGTGGGTATGGTGGGGAGAGACAGAGGTGATTATGTTAATAAATATGTCCAATTAACTAGGTCATTATGAAATACTAGTTGAGCATTTTTGTCCTCTCTTCTGTATTTATGCAATATGCATACTGTGTTAAGCCTATGATAAATGTATAATTTCATGGTTCACAATTTATACAGTAATATACATTCAATATAACTTGGAGATATTTTGACATCTTAATGCTTTGGAAAAAATGCCTGACAGAGTAATGAAGGTGTTCATATATAGCCCATGTTGTATGCTGCATTAGTAACATTAACATTGATTTTGTGTTTCTGAAAATATGTTAAGACACCAGGCTTTTGCTAAATGTGGAAACGACAGGAGTCCCCAATCTATGATAGTACTTTAGGATATTTTTGGAGTTTACAGTGATGTAAAAGCAATGGACATTTAGTAGAAACCGTACTTCAAATTTGAATTTTGATCTTAGGCTAGTGCTGTGCGGTATGACACCCCTTAGTAGCCCTGGGTGGCTTCCATGAAGTGTTCCACCGTGCTCTGCATCCTCGATGTCTTTGCCTAGGAGCCTCAGGGAGGCAGGGAAGCCAGACAGTGATTACATGAGGAGAAACGGTCTTCCTAGCAATAGGACTTGGGTGTTTGGACCCGATATCAACACAAAGCAATGTTAATTCTCTCTCCGGAGGACATTCTGGTATTCCAAGTGTTATTGTGGACCTAAATTATAAAGTTTTATTTAAAATCTGAGTTTATTAATACCACTTTCGTGCACTACAGGTCCACATTTATTCTTTTCAGGTTTTATATCTTATCAATCTATGTTTGTAATACAGAATGATTACACTCTCATGTGAAGTTGGTCCTTTCTCCTAACTTGTTATGATTCATTTTCCATTCCCTTTCCTTCCCCTCTGCTCCCTTCTCTTGATTCCTTAATCATGCACGATGTGCCTTAATAGCATTACAAAAAGTTAAATTTTGTTTTACCTTGGCTAAGGACTGAGTCCAACTTTGCTAAGTAAAACATCCATAATTTTTATCCAATTCCATACAAAATACATTGAAATATATCATTAATTAATAATAACTTTTAAATTATTAATTAATGATTTATTAATTAATGATTTTTGGTCCTTTCAGATGAATGTCATTTAGATTGTTTACTTCAAGAGATAGTCTTCTGTCCCTGAAGTATCGTGTACTGCATTGTGCTGGAAGGTAAGATTTTTTTTCTAAAGGTGTTCGCTGTTTACAGTTAAATTAAGGCACTGATTTAATTTTAATCAATACAGACTCACTGTAGTGATTCAGAAATAAAAAATGAGATTCATTGTGGCAGAGAATTCTGGCATTTCTGCTCTTTTACCCTCTCACTCTCCATATGTTTAGCAGAAATATTTGAACACTTTCATGTGCCAATGCATTGAGAAAGATGGCTTTTATGCTGAGGCAGCCTACTTTCTAGATAAGCACTCCCATGGTTGTTTTAGAGGAGCTAGGTGAAGCAAAATCTCTTGCGGCTAGAAGTTGCCATTCATGACCTAAATCAGCGGAGCTGAGGGGGAAAGGTGGGCCTGTCCAACTGCTCAGCCTAGGAATACACCAAGCTGGCAGCACAGCGAGAATGCAGGCTTCCCTGGAGGAGAAGGTGCTTCTTGTGGATACAGAAAGACTAGTGCTGAGAAGGTACATAGATGGAGGGCCCTGCAGATGGTGAGAAGAGGAAAAAGGAAGTGGAAACCAGAGGGGAAACTGCAAGATTTGGGGCAAACAAACTCTGTCCTGGAGTATAAGTTCATAACTTTAACAGCAGCATCAAGAAAAGGAAGCTAAGGCCATGATCTCCAGCCAGTTCTGATGAGAGAAAGGGAGAAATCCTTCCATACAGGAGATTTAGGGAGGATAGCAGAGCTTGATTTTTTAAAATCAAAGAAAAAAAGCAACAGCAAAGGAAAAACAGAAGAAGGGTAAGTACAATATCAGTTGAAACTGAACTGGTGTTATATGATATTACGGTTTCAAGAAATTCAGAGAAATTTGGGGAAGGCAGGTTTATATTTCTGTATTTCAATAGTTTATTAATAGATGAAATTGCAAGAGAGCTTGAATATTTTCTTAAATAGAAGCATCTATAATATGAGTTTTATTTTTTTCTTCTTCTCGGAAGTGGTGATTAAATTCAGGTCCTTGCATTTGCCTGGCAAGTGCTTATTCTACTGAGCTATCTCCCAGCCCCTATGTCATACTATTGCTATCATCAAATTTCAGTCCTGAGTTGTTTACATAGTTCCTCATTAGTTCTTACTGTACTGTATAAATGATAATGCTTGTTGCTAAACACACAACTTATATTATCAATATGAGTTTCTCAGTTTCAATGACATATTGACAGGGCTTGTGTATTTTAAAATGTGATTCCTTGTTGTTTGTGGTGGGCCAGCACTGAGCTGCTGTGATGAACACGGCAACCACTACAGGATTTCAAATCCTTGCACTCATTTCATTCTCAGATCACTCAATCTTTAAAATGCATTCAGATTTTCGTCAAGTTCTGTTTCTGCAAAACAGTTAAGTGCAGACAATTCCTTTTGTGATTGGTGTTGGCATGGTCCTTTACATTTTCCCAGTTCATGTCTCTTACATGTCATGTGAAAGAAAGTAGACATTTATGCAGATGCTTGCATTTACAAAGAATGATTTATTTATACAGCTGTTTGATAGAAGGGTTTGCTAAAACTATTTCCTATGCACCTGGCTCACCTGTTTTTATAGGAAAATTTTAATTCTTCTTAGTTGAAATGCCAGTAATATTTTGAAATGTCAGTTTCATTTGAAAATGTATAAAATGCAATTGTTTCCATCCAGGCGTTATTTCTATCTTTTTCCTAAAGATGGTCACCTTCTATAAACTAGTAGAAAAATGTAGAATTTAGTATAGAGATCATGTGATATATGATTGTGATTCCCATTATTTTTTCACATTTTCTAAGAAAAGATGCTAACAAAGCTTTCCTCAAGTAATACTTCTTCATGAAAAATAAAAAATCATACAGATTTTGACTGTCCACGGAAGAGTTGCCACTAAGACAAAGCCAAACTATGATCCACAACTGTTGCATATTGCTTTTAAAATTTCTAGTTCAATAAATTGCATCTGCTTTTCTTTATGCACTTCCAGGACAATTGAGCTTTTCACTTTCAGATTTTTCCTTCCCTGAAAGTAAAACGAAGATACTGTGTTGCACATGTGGATACTATTGCGTTGAGAAGCAATAGAGACATTTTCTTTCGACTCATCCTTCACTTCCACCTTGTAGCTCAGGATTCTACAAGGAAGGCAAATGTGAAGTCATCTTGGGATTGCATTCCCCCGTGACTGCTGAGCTTCTCATTCTTCATGTTGGCCACAAATGCAGTAGGTACTGCCCCATGCTGAGGAGAAATGAATTCAAAGCCAGCAATGGACGTTTTAGTGCATTGAAGTCAGAATTTCTGGTTTGAGTCACAAGTTCTACTACTTAGCAGCTTTTCTACATTTTATTGTATTCTCCAATAAGGTAGGAGTATTAACATGCTCCACTTAAGTGTCTGTGAGGAGCAGATCAGTAAATGTACAATAACTTTTAATCCGGGCCCCACCATACACTCAGCCCTCAACAAATGTTGCTTAAGAGAATCCTTTTAATTACTTCACAAATTTTATTCTATAATAAGTTAGTAATTAGGTTAGCAAACAGAAAATTTCTATCAAAAATGAATTTTGATATAGTTATAATAGGTTAGCAAATAGAATTTATATCAAAAATGAGTAGGTCCTTATGTTTTCCATGTTCCTGCACACTCATGTTATATTTATACAATTT